GCATGCAGTCATAGAACAAGGGGCAGTGGGCAGAAACTGCAACACAAGTTTCATACAAACTTACTGACTTCACATGCAAACATACTGACTTTACTGTTGGAGTGAGAGAGTACAGGCTGACCAGAGAGGTTGTGGAGTCTCCGTATCTGGAGATACTGGAGACCTGCCTGAATGCCTACATGTGCCACCTGCTGTAGGGAATGTGCAGGGAATGTGCTTCTGATCTCAGGAAATCTCTTTCAACCCCAACAATTTTGTGATTCTGTGAATGATGGATTTATGACTGCTTACTTCTTTTTTGGAGATATCAAAATCAGAACATTCACTCAGTAGTAACATTAACTGGCTACAATCCTAATATGACTGTAATTCATCCTACCTGTTACTACTATGTTGCAACAAGCAGTAAAACTGTTCAGTGTAATCTTAATGAATGGAACATCACCTTCCAGCAGCTCTGCTAACTAAAGCTTTTAAGAAAGAACTACGAAACATACATTGTGTTTAAAAACAGCCACTGCTATTTGCAAACGAGCTGCAGGTTGCAACTATGTGCCTCCCATACCCAGTTGGTAACCTGCTAATTCAAGCAACAAGTGTGCCCTCATCCATCATAAGGACTTTTATGGTTTACAAATAAGTATTTTGGACTAGATAGTGTATTAAGGCATGAAAATTCACATTAAGTGACTGAGTGTAGCTGTAGCATTCCTTAGCATTCCTTAACTTATGTACTGAGCACTTAATTGCTGCCAGCTTTCTTGCTGTTCTTGTGCTTTGCTACTGCTATGGAGCTCCTTGGACATGCTTCCTTGAAAAATGAGTGACGATAATTTCAGTATGATTTTGAAGAGGAGGGGATGAGTAGGAGTTTAGATTAAATATGCGTATAGTATTCAGCTTTTCCTGATCAGTAGATTACCTCAAAAATACAGAAGTGGAAAGAACCCGAAGCATTCTGAAAGCCAAAATATAAATTGGGTTTTCTCCAGAACAGGTACTCCTTCCTGTTTAGGCCAGCTGAAGAGTATGATTTTGTATCCATAACCTGTGGGAAGCACCTGTGTCTGCTCACATTTTGAGGCAAAAGAGAAGTAGCATGGAAATTGTGACTTACAATTAATAAAAAAATAAAACAATTTTGAGTAAATGAATATTCAAAAGCATGTATAGATCACCTTTCTGCACTGTGTTTCTTGACCGAAAATGTTACTTGTGCATGTACGCTACTGGTAGTGACAGAATAGCATTTAGTTGCATGAAGTAGTAGACCAGACTGAAGAGGGACCCTTGCACAACTGCAGTCATTACTCGAAACTTGTACTTTATTGAAAGAAAAATAAAATATGTTAAGGTTGTTGCTGTCTGGGAACTTCTACAAGCTTTTGAGTTAGAGATAATGTGGTGCATAGCACTAGTGTGTGCTGCAAATTGCTTACTGAAAAAATATGATAGGTGCTTACTGATGGCCAGAATACGTGTCTGCTGTAGGCTTGATAGCAAATGTTATTTAGAATTAGCAATACTTAGAATTAATACTACTGGAGGCTCTTGTTTATGGCTGATGCTAATTGTCTTCTCTTGTTAGTAAGCTTTCTGACTGATGCTTCATTTGTAGAGCTTCTGGGCTATCTTCAAACACTGCTTCTTACAGCTTGTGGAAACGGACTTGGGCTTCATGCATTTACTTGCAGTTTCTTGTTTGTTTCCAAACTTAATTACCTCAATAGCACTTACCAATAGGCCTTAATTTTCACCTTTCTTGCCCAATTCCTGTGCCATTTCATTATGTCTTCTTGAAAGCAAGCATGAATTATTTAAGTAGTGCAGTTTGTCATTCTGTTTTACAAATGTGCATAACATTAAGATAGCTGATGCTGTCCATGTGTATGATGTGGGGAACGTTGTGGGGAAGGAGATGTGGGAGAGAGGCCTGCTTCTTGAAAGATGTTCTGCAGTTTTGTTTGATTTAACTGGCATTATACCTGGTGGGAGGTGTCTGGAGTGAGCCTACATCGCAGGCAGGGGGGAACCTTGGCACTCCAGCTTCACTGTAAATAACTGAGCCAAAATTGCTCTCTTCAGTTCTGACTCACTGAAACATAGCATCCAGAATAAATTTCCCTATAACTTTTTGTTACAGAGCATTTTTCCCAGTGTCTTGCTAGCTTGGAATAAAACCACCATTCAATACATCATAATTTGGGGAGGAAGGAGATTGGGAAGAGAATTTAATTCACCTCTGCTCTAAGAAAAATCCTAACCTAGACTTCAGGAAATTGTAGGAATATTTCTGCTTTATGTTATTAAATGTGCTAAGAGCCATCTCTTTTCTGTGAGGTCATTTGTCCAGTTGTCCTTTGCGTATCTGAACAGCTTGGATGAAAGGTAGTGCTTTGTATGCAGGGGATGCTGAGCAAACAAAACTTATTTTGTTGAGAGTGAGTGTTCATGGTAGGTGGCAAAAGCTAGCTTCACCAGTAGCAAGAAGAAGGGAACAGGTGATAGCTGAGAAAATTGTTGCAGAATCTAGCAAGGGACCTTGGAAAAGGGCAGAGCAGATGAGGATAAAGGAAACAGGCAGCATGCAGGGAATACAGGCCTCAACAAAATCAGGGTCAAATAATTTAAAGGGGGAAGTATATAATCAGGTATCTGTGCAGAAAGGCTCTAGAAAAGAGTGGTGAAAATAAATAGGGATATTAGACAGTGGGGAAAGGCAAGCAAAAGAAACAAGCCAGAACAAGACGAATTCTAAACTTGATACTGTTTAACAGGTACTTCTGACATAGGGCGTTATGCAGTAGGTGGAATAAAAGAGGCACTTGTTTTCCAAAGAGCTGAAGAAGCAGCGCTTTCAGCCCAAGAGAAGCCGCAGTCTTTTTTCCTCCACCCAGTGGTGAGAAGGAGTATTTACTGCTTTCGAATCGTCAAAAGGAGGCGAGGAGCGAGCAGGATTCCAAAAAGAGATTCCAGGAGGAAACCTCACACGCATCAAATGTTAACCTTCCCCAATTAGTAATCAAAGCTTTAGACTGTGAGCATTATGCTGCTTATCTTGAGCACAGTCTATTGATAACCATTTACCTCAGTTTGGGCTGTGTGATAGCTTTGTCATTGATGACCAAAGTGCGTGGGGGGGGAGGGGGGATTGTTCTTCTGTGTTTCTCATTCCCACACTGTCCACCCACAAGAATTACAAACTGTGAACGTGGTAAAACCAAAGCAGATGATCAGTAGAGGGTGAGGGGACATGCTGTCAGTCACCACCATCAGCATTAGTCCCCTCTGTGCTGCTGCAATGACACTTAGAGGTCTGTTCAGGTAGCAAGCCACTGATGCTATGGAATCCAGTGGCTACGGAATCTGGATCCACTTTGCACCTGCTTCTGAGTCTGACTGCTGTTTGTATGATCAGAGCTTCTGTAGTGTTTAAAGTTCTGTATAAAACGCACTGGATTGATGCCAGTATAATTAAAGCAGGCTCCAGTGTGCATGCGGTTCCCCAAGCATCAGTATGCCTTAAGTTTCTCTTGTCATGGCAAATTACTGTAGTAAGTTTTATTCAGAGAACCTCCTTTATTTCGGCATGGAGGAGTTTACAGTAAGGCTTTTCCAGCTGAAATGTTTCAGCTGAAAAAATAATGTGAAAAATGGTGTATTGAATGTAAAAACCGAACAGTGTTGTTTCCAGGTAAGATTTGGACTGTGTGTGATCTTGTAAAACAGCCGTAGGGATTTACCATTAGTATTACATAGATGGTAGCTTTCCCCAGCCATCTGGTTTTTTGACATAGTGGTTATGTGTATCTTGTTGGTTCTCTCAAATGATTTCTGCTTGGAAACACTGAGCTCATGAAGCAGTGGTTCATAGCATAAGAATCCACCGTAAAATAATACGGAGGGGAAAAAAAAGTTTAGAATGTATGGACTGGAACTGATTGCCAGTCTAGAAGTTCCCTGGTCAAAATGGGAAGTGTTCTATACCACCTGTGGAAGTGCTTGGGAACATGTTTTAAAGGGCAGTGAATTTCTCACTTGTGGATAACATGGCACTGAAAGCTCTGTGATAGCAAAATTTTTGTTGCTGGAAAAGATTCCCTTGCTTATTTAATGTGGTCCCTTAAAGAGGATTCTGGGAAATATGTTGTTCTGACTGCTGTGACTTTACATTAAGTGGTTGATTCCTCAGATGTGGATGGCAAGTGTGAGAAGCTCAGGCTGAAGGAGATTTTGCATCCAAAGCAAAAGCTGTGGATGTCTGAGATCTCCCTGACTCCTTAGCCCTCAGTGAGTGAGTGCTGGTGCAGTGAGAGTTTTGGTTTAGACTCTCATGTAAGGCAAATTCTAGCAGGCACAGCTTGCATGGGAACCCATTCTGAACCATCCACAGGCGTTTAACTGGGCTTTTATTGCACTGGGTGGCATGTTTCCTTTCTTGTTTCTTCAGCAGAAAGAAGAAATGAAAAATTCTCCTTGTAGAACTAATTGTGCTGTCTGAATTGTTTGGGTTGTGTTCAGGGTCACACTTCCACAAGTCACTGCTTGAATCTTACTGCCAGCATCCATGGGAGTGCTGCTAGTCTTCACATGCAGTGGCTATTCCAGCCAAGATTTATATCATTCCTGGGAGGACTATTCAGCAAAGAGTACTAGATATCAATGGCTGGAAAAAATGTCCTCCTTAGGCTGAGGCACTGTCTTTGTCAGGAAAATTTTGTTACCTTTTCCATTTAGAGCACTAAGGACAAATATTAAATGGTGTAAGGTAAGAATAAAAAATGTATGGAACATCCTTTATGATAGGATAGCAGGGGAATAAGCTCTGGGGAATGAACCCTGTGTCCTTTATTTCTAGAAACAATGACAAACTAAAAAAAGAAAACTCTCTATGCTGAGTTTGTGGCATTTGTCCTTTGGTCACCCAGACAAGGACAGAAAATGCCAACAGTTTCAGGCCAATATCTGGAGGATACTTAAAATTTTGTTCTAGATTTGGACAGCAACTTCCACCCCTCCATCTCTGCCCACACTGTGAAGGGATGGTGTTCCCTTGGGTCCCATCTTGCTGCTGCACCTTAGCACAGTTCCCACATGCCAAATGATGTTAGTTTGTATTGGTAGCTTTTAGCTAGTCCAGACTGCAAATGACAGTGAGCTTCTTGGGCAAGGCTCCTTGCCTTTCCTTTCTTCAGAGGCTGCATGGACACAGCAAGCCAGTGAAGAACCCCCATACTGCCACAGCAAGTTGTACCTGCCCACAAGGGGGGGAAGGAACATCTGTGAAAATAGCTGGGAAAAGCAGAGAAACAAGCCCCAAGCTTCATTAATAATAACAAACAATGCCAGGACCTTTCAAACAGGTTCATATAGCACTTAACTCATGGATTTCATCGTGTGCAGCAGCATTTTTTTAATAATCATCCAAACTGGTTTACATGATCACCTTTTGACTCCAAACATTCAGAACGACATTTGTTTTTTGTTCTTTTTTTCTTTTTTCTTTTGTTTTGGACAATATATATACATATGTACAAAAACATCTATGCCTACTTTTTTTTTTTTCTTTTGCTTTTATTTTTTTTTTTACAATTTCATGTGATTTACAAAACAGGACAGCAAAATAACTTATAAAGGATACGAATACTGTACAAAAATAAAACTGATTAAACTGCTGGAGGTTGGTATTTTACAGTGTTACAGATCATGAATCTGTAAAACAGCATTTTGAAGAACACGTCCAGTCTGGTGTGTGCTGGACTAAGTCCATCTGCAAACTGAAAACAGATCTGTAATAACGGTCATGAAAAACTGTTGCAAAAAATGAAATATGTTGAAGTATGTATAGCTATACCTTTAAAGCCACGACTTCTCTATAGTAATGGGCTTTCTTAACCAAGGAGAGGAGCTGTCCTAACTTCAGCACTATTAATTATTTCCAAAATAGTACAGTAAGTACGAATGGTATTAGAGAACTTGATTTTCCTTTTCTTTCAAACATCGCAACACTCTTCAAACCTAACTTCAAGATGCAGAAAACTAACCTGGAGTTTGTTCATGTGTTAGATCCGTTCTTTGTCTTTACTAGAAGAACAACTAAAAACCCGAATGAATAACATGATAAAATGAATTCTCTACACCTGATAATTCCCCATGTCCTCCGCTAGTGGTAAATGAATCACGTTAATGCTGTCTGTCCTATGCTGAAATACAGGATGTATTAGAGCAAATTGGTTACTGCTTCAGGTTTTGTTTCTTTTTTCAGAAACAGGATGTTGTCATCAGTGATAACAACCTAATCTGTTTTCCCCTTCTTCTGTGGACCTAAGTACCTTCCCCTCCCCCATTAATTCTTTTAGAAAAGGAAGAAACAATGATGACATTTCCTTAGATGTGCATTCTACCCCAAATATTGAAGCTGGGATCCATGAATCTGGCCATTTACTTTCATGTGTAGGTAACTAAGTGACCAAAACATTTGCATATTGGTTTAGGAGCTGCTTATCAGATGTGACTTCCCATTGTGTTTGACAGCGTGTGAGGGTGTTGTGTACTTCACAGGACCAGGCCTTAACATTCTAAGTACTGCATTTGTCCTACAAAACTGCAACAACCCAGACTGTGGGGCAGACTCAAAAGCTTACTTTGATCTTCACAGAGAAGACAGAAGATGAATGTGCACGCTCCACTGAATCTCACTGGGTGACGCGTGGCCCTGACACCACTCAACAAGGCAGCATTAACAGTATTGGTAAGCAGAATGATTTCTGTATTCCTAGATCAGTAGAAATACCGAGGCTACCTCTTTTTGTTAGGAGTTCCTACAACTCAATTTGGACACCAGAAATTAAAGTTTGGTTTCTAAAATAAATGTTTCACAAAGCTGAAACGGAGGTAGAAAGTGTGCTTGGTTTCCTGATGTCTTCACTGAAGAAAACACATCCCTTTTACTCCACAGGCTGCTCAGTATCCCTAATGCCTTAAAAGCAGTTCTCTTCACATAGACAGAATTTATCAAGAACTACACAGGTAAAAACACTATATGCAAACTGATTTCTAATGCTGAAAGCCTTATACAACTGTAGAAGAAAATACTCTACTCTCTGAGTTCATTTCTTAACATTTGTTTCTAGGAAGCAAGCTTTTTATCAGGTAAAACAATAAGATACTGTAACTGCAGGTGTACTAACAAGATCTTTATGTACAGAATTTTACAGGATGACCTAAATTCATCTGCAGTGGAAACACTTCAGATTTCAGTGTGATTACTCCCGAGATGAATTGGGCCCTAAGTCTCTATAGCAGGGCTGCACCTCCCCTTCCTCTTCTGGAGGAAGGAGTAAAAACAGAACAGAAAAAGAATGATTCAGGAAGAAATAATGTGTAAACATAATTCTCCCCCCTACAAGTATCTGGGGAGGGGGGAAAAATAACCTTGTATGGTTCATGCTTTTAACATAAAGAAGATGAAATGCACAGAAAATTATCATGATTTGAAAGTTTCCCTTCAGTGATCATTTTGCTCCTTGAAGGGAGGAAAATGTAGCTGTAAATTAAAAGTAGTATTGCCTTGATCAGTATTGGATGTGTCACATATGACACAGGTACGATTGCATGGTACCCAGGGAAGCTGATGCCAGAAGGAATATTAGGACACATCTTCCGTGTTGTATTTCCAATTAGCTCATGGTTTTCCCTCATACTCTACAGAAACAGCAATCAAGAGATACAGGAGCCCTTTTGAAGCGCTCTTTACAATAAATTTAGCTGTTTCCATCAGCAGAGTGCTCTTCAGGAAAGGTCTACTCTCTCCATAAGCACACGGAACTCCCATTGGACGTGGTAGGAGTTAGGCACGTGTATGAAGAGAATAAATCTTTAAGGCAAGTGTATGAAGAGAAAAAGCCTGTAAAAAAGCAGCAGTTTACAAAGATGGTAGCTGCTGTTATGCATCCATTCAAAGAAAACACAGCAGAATAAAGCACTGTTAGTGGCATTTCTATAGTACAGTACTGTATTTATTGACAAATGAAAAGATAGATCAATTGAGAGACGTATGTTTCTGCCCTCATCCTCCCCGCCACATTATGTAGGCTGACTTGTATTTTTCCAGGTAAACGAATAACAGAGCTAAATACACATATGGTCAGAAAATGACTGAGTTGTTGTGTCGGTGTTTTTTGCTGTAAGTATCTGCTTGAATTACACATGTTTTTACTGGAAAAGTGCAGCTTATATTCAAAAGTATAGTTAATACAAAGAAAAATTAAAAAGACCCAGTTAGTTTCACAGGTCTTCTTGAGTATAAATTCACCTTATTTCAGAATATCAATCAGATGCTATTAGTAACACATGTAATGTTTCTCTTAACAGTCTTTTAAAATGAAGGATCATTCTGAGATAGAAGTAAACCCACTTCTACAATGTGCTATGGAGTTTATATCTGAGAATTACTTATGTGACTCGGAAAGTGGTTTTACTTGACAGACTCTAAACACAAGCAGCATTACATTGTTCAACAAAACATGTTCATGACACAGCAATCACAAAGACCCGGAGTCACGCTACTGTGGTTTCACTGGCCGGACCGTCCCGTGGGACATAAGTATGCCAGTCCGAATGCGACAGATTGGGGAAGGCGGTGGTCCCGTCCTTCCCTCTTGCCGCTATCCCCTTCATCAAGATGGCTGTTCCCAGCCAGCACTGGAGAGCAGGAGCTGAGCACGCCGAGTGCTTAGGTTTTGGACATCAGCTACATGTGCTTCCTGATGGTGAGCGGGGCCTCCTCTGCCGCTGCTCTCCGGGCCACACCTGTGGCTCTTGCACCCCGCTCCCCTTCCTGGGCCAGCTCTGCCTTCACAAGGAACCAGAGCTGGACTTTTTGGATCGCTTGATCATGCTGGGGTGGAACTCAGTGTGGCGGCGAGCGTGCTTCGTCAGGTGGTCGCTCCGCATGAAGCGCTTCTCGCAGAGAGGGCACCGAAACTGCTTCTCACCGGTGTGGGTGCGGTAGTGCCGGGTGAGCTCGTCGGAGCGGGAGAACTTTTTAAGGCAGTCAGGCCATGTGCAGGGGAACGGCCGCTCGCCTGTAGGGAGAAAGCATGACAAAGTGTTCAAGCAGCGGGGGGACTGCGGGCAGCACTGACCAGAGGGATGTGGCCTTTGCTTCCAGCCAGGGCACGCGTTCCTGCTGAGCTGCTGACGATTCACTCAGTCAGGTGTTGCTCTCACCACCCACATGAGCCAAAACCCTTCTAACGGCATGCAGCTCGAGCTCCAGTGCAGAGCCTTACATGACCCCACAGACTGTCATAACAACAGATGAGACCTGCCTACGCCTCTGTGTTCCTTATGTCGAGTGCACTACGATGGTTTGAGAGGGGAATGCTGGTATTGCTCCTCTGGTACTTCCATTCTGCTGAACAGAACCATCTGTAACTATTAGAAAAGCAGCCAAAGAAAATCCTTCACCTGCAATTCCTGCCTAGAAAGAACTGAGCAGGGAGGGAACTGGGAGAGCACTGCAGCCTCAGAGCTGCAAATCTGCAGAGCAGAAACCATGATGCCTGCCAGTGGAAGGCTTCTGCCCCCTCACCTCCCTTCCCCCAGAAGTTTGAGGTGTTCCAGCAGGTGATATTCTCCCCCCTGTCTCTTAAATGTTCAATCTGCAGGCAGGACAACTATTTTGTTATCACAGCTCTACCGGTATGAATGTTTGCAGCAGTGGCAAAGAACCAAACCAAATACCTTAACCTAGAATACACCACACCTCTGTTTTAAAAGCAAGATTGTGAGGAGTGAACAATACCTACTGTCACCTTCCAGACATTCTAGATCCCTGTGGTTCAGCCCTGCAGGCTGCCTGGACCTTGAACAAATGTCTTTGCAAAGCTGACTATTCCATGACACAAAAGGAAATAAAAAACGTTTAGGCTTGCACAAAAGCTTTCAGTCACATACATCATGTACCAGAGCTGTTTGATGCCTTAATTCCTTTTCTTAAGAATCTCCTGAAGGGAATACAAATGACAGCTATGTGACAGCTATTTATAGTCAACCATGAAATATAAAAACTGTCCCAGGAGTTTTCCATCTTGGAAGAATTGGAAAGAAATTTGAAGAACTCCAGTATTTCTTGGTACTGTGCAGTTCGGCACAAAATATGAGCTCCCTTTACATTTGCAGATTGTGAGAAAAAGAGTCCTTTACAAGAGTGTGCGTCCTTGAGAACTCCCCAGCCACATCAACGGAGAACAAAGACTGAAGACTAGCATGGATAGTACAGCAGGCAGGAGGACAGCCAGGAGTGAAACGCTGAGGTCCTGGGGGGAGAATGGAGTGTGGTGAGGGGTCAGGGGAATGGCCCTTGGCATCCCAAAGATGAGGAGACATTTGACAATGGATCAGATAAGCTGAGACTCTGGAGATAAATGGGCTCTCGGTGGAAGTCTCTTAAATAACACAGACGTTGCAATGGTTCAGCATTCTACTTACATAGTGCTACCTGCTGCGCAGACTGCTCTGAGCCTGGCTGATCAGTGTTTGGTACATCATGGTGGTAGAGATGGAGCCCCAAGCCACCCTGGCTTGCTGGGCTTTCTTACAAACCTCTTATCTCCCTGCTGTGCTCCTTTCAACATGGTTGGAAGCCTTTCTGAACAACCACGGCCCATGTAAAAGATTAACTTAATTAAAGCTGTATGTTCACTCACGTGTGAAGGCCTTGGCTGCAGCTACAAGTCAGTGCGGCACCAGCAGGCACCACACAATAGGGTCACAGATCTTGGTCTGCCCACGCTCTGCCCATTGCCCACACTTAGCATCCTGTGCATTTCAGTGGTACTACTCTTCCTGCATGCATGGAGGCATCTCGTATATGGCCAGGGCCATAAAGAGGCAGCTCAGCAACCCAGCCCTTTCCAGAAGATGCATTCCCATAATCTCCCTCAGGATAGCCCTTCAGCCTGACAAGTGCCTGATTTGCTATACAGACCAAGCACCTAGCCTGTGGGCCGTGGTCTCTGGGGCAGGCGTCTACTGTTTAGGCACGGTAGTATCCAAACTGGTTGCTTAAAGCAGTGTTTAATTCTTGATGCTTGCAGAAGTTAAGAAAAAACATAGCCTGTTTTCTGGTTCCTTCTGGAATGTGATGGGAGTGGTGTGACCACCATCGCTGCCCTGCAAAGCCATTTTGCCTGCTGTGGGGTGCAAGGTGGCTCTGGGAAGAGGCAGCACCGGCCTAGGATCCCTCATACCAGTTCACAGCATTGCAGTGTCCAGACACAAACATCGCCTCCCAGGGAAGAGAGGAAAGGAAATCTTCCCTACGGAAACACCCACCCCTGGGCTGGGAGCAGAGGCCTGAAGGCCTGAGGGCCTGGTGTGGTGGAGTCTTGCCCTGGGCTCAGGGCACTGACAGACACAGACTGTGGTGATTCCTGAAGCACGGAGCTGGAGCGCAGTGCAGACCATCTCCTGCCACACAGCAGAGCGCAGCAGCAGCAAAGGGTTTCCTCACTTGGGCGGTGCAAGCTCTAGGAGACTGTCACAACTGCTTCAGAAATGCATGTGTAAAAGTAGGCCAGGCATAATCCGCAACACAAGGAAGTGTTAGAACTCCACAAGCAGAGAGACAAGGGGGAGGGAGACTTCTCTAGGCCCAGAGTATTTGTCTCCGAGCCTGGAGACCTGCTGCTCTCCTCAGTTTCGAAGCCATCACCAATTACATGAACCCAGAGCGACAGCACTTCATCAACTGACTGAATAGACGCAGCACAGCAGCGGACCATGCACTGAGAGGCTCTCAAGGCAAGGCAGAGATGCCTGATGACAGGCGATGGCTGTGCACTCTGCAGAGCCGAAGCCTGCAGTTGCTGGCTGAGTTTGGCACGCTGCTTTAGAGCAGCAGAGGCGTTGCGAAGGTGGGCAGGCCACAGCATGGCTGCAATGCCGCTCAAGCTGCCTCCACCCAGAGGCATTCATTTTGGTTTCACGTCTAATCCTGAGGAACTTTTTCCATATGATTTTTCCCCACCAGTTTTGAGAGCAGTACGGCTAGGGCATGAACAGAACAAACTATTAACACAGGGTGTTGTTATACACGGCTGCCTTTGGTGGCAGTGTGCTACTTACATTTCTAAAAAATGCCTGATGTTGGGTTTCTGCCGATCGATGACAGGACAGCCAATGGTGTGCCACAATGCCTTAAAACTATGTGTGATAGACTCTGCCCAAATATACAAAGGTGTAAATAATTCTCTTCAATAGAAATATCCAGGTTACACAAGTAACCACAGAAGTAAGAGCTGAAAGAAACTGGTTTACAGATAACAGGAATGGGTTAATCTACAGAGTTCCCATTTTTATCTGGTTTGCCACCAGAGGTTGCAGTAGGAAGCACAGTTTATGCCAAGGTGGCACAACGATGCAACCTAATGTTGATTCTTCAGGGGCCTTCTCTGTTTCTGCAACCCTGGCTTGCTTTAAATCCCCTATAGATTCAAAGACCACTGTAGATCCTCTCAAGCTCTGCTCCTCTCATTTTACCTGACCTTCTATCCCTGTTTCTTCTCCCCACTCTCCACTACAAGTAGTTTGTTTCTTCTTTCTCTGAGAGTTCAAACTCTAAATCCAGGTTGCTTTGTACAACGTGAGGTAGTTCCATGTCATTTTGTTTCGATTTTATTCTGACTAGACTGAAAATAACTTAGCTTTTTGCCCTACCCTGAAATATTCCTGATTTTCCCACGTGGTATTCTTGCGCAGCAAGAGTTTCCAGGGGAAAATAGAGAGAGAGAGAGAGAGAGAGAGAGAGAGAAGGCTTTAGCAGTCTTGTTAATAGTACAGGTAGTTCTGAGATCCTGATTTCTCATCTGCCTTCTCACTATGAATTGCTGTTAGATGTGGATGACCAAGGTTAGAATCTGCAGCTCATGGGGGCTTTAGAAAAGATGACTTTAATCAGACAAGCAAGAGATAGGTGTCTAGTTTTCCTATGCAGGGAAAAAAAAACCAACATGTTTGGAACAGCTGAAGATAAAACTGACACTTCTACATTTGTCTTTAACAGGGCATGTACTGGTACTGGAACAAACGGAGCTTCTGTGATGAGCTACTAATTTAAAGTGAATTACAAAAATTGCTTGAGCATTGCCTTCACAAAAGACATTCAGAGAAGTCTGTTGTTGTGGATGACAGTCTGACCAAGATGGATGCTTTGCTAATCTTGTACTATTTTTCTGACTGACAGAAGTGAAGTTGGACATCAGGATCCGTGGTAACACAGGATAGATTGCCATCAAGTCTAACGATACTACAGTCAAATGGATTGTAGCTACAGCTGCATAAATGGACATCCCTGACAAACCTGCATATTAATGAAGAGACCACCAGGCACATGGTAGAACTATTCTGCCAGATATTCATAGCAGCAATTAATGAAGTATTATGCATCAAAACTGAAGAATCACTCCAAGTTTGACTTTTGGGATGTAGCACCTGTGCTTGACTCTCACTTTGTCTCTGGCTGTGGACATGGCACAGCTAGCCACCATCTTCTGCTGCAGCAACATCCATCTCTGCTCATAGCACCACCTGAAAGACCAGGTGAACTGCACAAGAGCAGGTTGTGCATTTCTGACTCATCCCATCAAAGATGAGATGATAAGAAGAAAGATGGAAAAGAGAAAGCACACAGACAAGGAAAGCTCAAAGAGTAAAATCTTATGCCATAAGGAAAGGGAAAACTACCTTAGGAAAACAGGTCTAATACACTAATAACAGGTCTGTGGGAAGGCAGAAGAAAAATAGAGGAAAAAAAGCATGCCCACAGCTTCAATGTGCATAATTAACTGTGGATGGTTCAAATAAGAAAATGTAATTCCTGCCTGCATCTTACAAGATCCTCCAGAATCTCTGAGGCTGTGGTGCTCAAACTTTCCCAGGAAATCATGGTACCCAGAGAAGACCTGCTCCTGAACAACAATTCCTTGGCTTAGATACAACAATTATAACCTTTTCTATTTCCCCCATCTCAGCTGCCACTCCTGAGTGTCCCTCTGTCTCCTGAAGAATCACAGGTTCTGTA